CGTTTCTGAACATCTGTTCTTCCTAAATTTGCCTTCAGCAGAGAGGGGCTTGTTAAGCAGTAGATGTTAATACTTCATTATTACCTCCTGTGTCGAGGGCACACCTACCTGGAAAACCTGTTGAGGGCCATCCCTTGAGATTTGAATGGTTAAATCTTTCAAGCATTGGATCCTAATTGTAAACGGTCTGTACATCATCTTCATTGTAATAATTTTTGCCAGGAATCGGATTTGTAACCTTTCCAATCTTTTGTTCAGACGACGAGAGTCTTGGGAAGCTTTTGATTTTTAATAGATTTTGGAACAGTTTCCTGTGGTTCTTCATTTGTTTATAATGTCAAACAGAAGATGGAACAATTTTCGTATTTTATTTTAACATAATATGTGGGAGAATATGAAGAAAAGGAACAGTACTAAAGTGTGATTCTTGAGAATTTTTCAGTTACATTTTACTTAAGTCATTTTGGTGTAAAAGAGAATTTACCAGCTATGCAAAATGACAGCACAACAGCCTGCATTTCCAGTCTGTTCTTTTTTTATTTTTTTATTGATTAAGTTATTACATATGTGTCCTTATCCCAGTTTATGTTGTTCATTATATTGCACAAATGAGAGAGGCCATGTGATATTCATCTTTCTCTGACTGGCTTATTTCACTTAGCATAATGCTCTCCAGGTCCATCCATGCTGTTGCATTCAGTCTATTCTTGACAAGACTGATGTTACCCTTCATAAAAGATGATCTTGACGCCTGCCTGGAGAATGAATATGGAGACACGAATCCCATTCGCATCACATTCAGCTCTTGAGGATGCCTTTACAGCCACATCATTCCGAGTTTGAGAGGCTGCCTTCCTGCCTGTCTGACATCCTTCACGTGTGGGAGTCCATGTTCACACGTAACAGTAGCAGAGCAGACACAGAAACTTAGTCTGCTTCATTTTAAGACAGCTCTCGGGGACACGAGGGTTATGCATAAAGGAATGTCCATAGATGACTTTAAGGGACTTTAGGCTGTTAAGAAAGACGAAAGATACACTTATTATTATTTTTTAAAATCTTTATTGTTGAGAGTATTACAGATGTTCCCCTTGCCCCCGATAGCCCCCTCTTCCCAGTTCAGGCCTTCAGCACCCTATGTGTCCTTAGGAAAGATCTTTGGTTAATCTTCCTGCCCCACTCCCGAGCTCTGAGATTCATCGGTCTGTTCCATGCATCCGTGCCTCTGATTCTATTTTATTCACCCGTTTATTTTGTTCATTAGATTTCTTGTTTGTTTTGATTTTTAGATTCAATGGTTGATAAATATGTATTTGTTGCCATTTTATTGTTCATATTTTTCCTCTTCTTTTTCTTGTTCTTTTTCCTCTTCTTAAAGAATACCCTTCAACATTTCATGTAATATTGGTTTGATAGTGATTAACTCCTTTAGCTTATTCTTGTCTGTGAAGCTCTTCATCTGACCCTCAATTCTTTGCTGGGTAGAGTAATCTTGGTTGTAGGTCCTTGCTACTCATCACTTTGAATTATTTCCTGCCAGTCCCTTCTGGCCTGCAAAGTTTCTGTTGAGAAATCAGCTGACAATCATATGGGCACTTCCTTGTAGGTAACTAACTGTTTTTCTCTTGCTGCTTTTAAGATTCTTCCTTTGTCTTTAACCTTTGGCATTTTAATTATGATGTGTCTTGGTGTGGGCCTCTTTGGGTTCATCTTGTTTGGGACTCTTCAAATGGGTTTTAATATCTTGCTCTCTCTCTTCTCCCTCTGGAACCCCCATAACACTTGGTACACTTGAAGTTGTCCCAGAGGCTCCTTACACTATTTTCATGTTTTTGGATTCTTTTTTCTTTTAGCTCCTCTGCTTGGGTGTTTATTGTTTCCTCATATTCCAAAATGTTGATTTGATTCTCGGTGTCCTCTACTCTACTGTAGAATCCCTTTAAATTATTTATTTCAGTTAGTGTATGCGTAATTTCTGGCTGGTCCTTTTTCATGTCTTTGACATTCTCACTAAGATCCGTGAACCTCTCATGAAGATCCTTGAGTAATACTATAACCATGGTTTTGAATTCTGTATCCAGTAGTTTACTTGCTTCCATTTCTTTCATTTTGACCTTTGGCTGCTTTCCTGTATTTGTTCCTATGTTTTAGGTAGAGCTGTATGTCTCCTGGAATTGATAGAGTGGCCTTGTGTAGTGGGTGTCCTGTAGGGCCCAGTGGCTCAGCCTCCCCACTCATTTGAGCTGGGCACTCTAGGTGCCCCCATGTGTGGGGTGTGTGCATAGTCTTGTAGTTGAGCTTTGATTGTTATTGATGTCACTGGGAGGAGTTGACCTCCAGGCCAATTGGCTGTGAGGACCAGCTACTACTACAGTGGGAGAGCTGCTGTGCAGGAGACACCCCTATGGAGCAGGATTCACTTCAGTGGAGCTTCAGTGCTCACTGAGTCTGCCCCTTAGTGTGTCCCTTGTGGATGTGTAGAGTTGTAATCTGCTATGGTCTGAAGCTGTCTGCCAGGTACAGTGGCTCTGGGGCCACCCAGCAGGAACTTCAGAGAGATCTGCAGATGGCTGCAACTTGTATTTGGCTTGGCAGTGCCCTGGTGAGGCCCAACTGTGAAGCAAGGCAGGCTGATACTAGTTCTGGGTCTTGGGCTTTTTATTGATAAGTTTGGGGCATGCTGTCACCAGCTGCAGCTTGTTTGAGAGATTTTAGCAAAGTCTGAAGCCTGAGGCAGGACAGGCCATTCATATGAAAAAGCTGGTGCAAACAGCTTGGGTAAGGCTGCAAATTGGGTGGGGTGGGATCTCAGAATCACCAGGGCAGAGCAAACAGTTTGAGACAAGTTGATGGAGACTCAGATATGGCCCCTGCCAGTCAGCTCTGTGACCTGAGAGGTCCCAGCATAGGAACAGTGACCGCTGTGAGCACCTCTGTCTGGGAGAAACCCGAGTTCCTACCTCGATGCCAGACAATCCAGTTCCTCCTTGTATGGCTGGGTTCCCCCAAAGCTGCTGGGAGTCCAAGTAAATCCATGCACTGGCCCTTTAAATGGAACTGCTTGGGCCTCTAGCAGCCTCCGTGTCACTCAGCCACAATCCCTGCTGGTTTTTACAGCCGGAAATTACGGGCACTTCTCTTGCCACCTCTGGAACCCTGGGCGGGGGGTCAGGGACTGGGACTTTTGCTCCTCACAGGTGGCCTCCACAGAGACGATCTCCCTCCTGGTGATAAAAATGGCACATGTGGTGTCAGACCAGCCGTGCCTCCCCTCTGTCCTTCCTGCCAGCCTCAGTGTGCCTTCTTTACTTCTCTAGCTGTACGGCTTCTATTCAGCCCGCTCTCAGGCGGTTCTGAATGATGGTGGTTCAGGGATGCGGTGGGTACCGGCCTTTACCTACGCTGCCATCTTGGTTCTCTCCACTTTTATTTTCTTTAAGTCATTGTTTGTGCAGCGTGTTTGTTTCATCGGCTCAGCTCTCCTCATAATTAATGGAGCTGAATGTACGTGGAAGGTGCTCCCCACCCAGTAGGAGCCCTCGGGCGGAAGAGAGAGTCACTGAAGCTCTGCAGGCGACACCACCTGAGGCCGAAGGAGCCACGATGCGAAACGGCTTCTGAAAGTGAAGGAGGAAAGTGGCCAAGCAGGACGCGTCTGACCAGCAGGAAGACGGGAGTCACGGCAGGAGAAACGCACAGCTTCAGCGCAAACGACGGAGACACGTGTCTACGCCAGAGGAAGCGGTGGGCCCAGCCTCCAGCCCCCAAGTCCAGACCGCCAGCCGCACTGAGGCTACCCCAGAGCTGGGGCCTGAGGGTGGAGGCCCATCTCAGGAGGGGTGGGGACTGTGGCACCCTGCTCTGCTCAGCCTGAGCACGGCTGGGGCAGGTGACATACGGACGCTGTCCTACTTCAGACACCTCATGAGGAGGCAGGGGTTTTGGAAAAGACACCGATGCTGGGAACAGAGGCAGCAAGAGAAGAGGAGCCCAAACAGGAGGTGGAGGGACTCACGCAAGAGCCACAGGCTGTGCAGGGCGGTGAGGACGGACACTGGACGGCACCATTCCAGGTCCCCGGGCGCCCAACTCAGCGGCACATCGCCCTCGCGGGGCGGGGTGAAGGGGGGAGTGCTTTCCTGCATCAGTTTTTGCAGCTGCAACAGAGACCACATTGAGTGAAAGTCAATCTCTGGGCTCCTCCCTGAGGAAGGACTTGAGTGGCTTGTCCTGTACTCAGCCTGTGGTTACAGTGTGGCTGTGTCTGGGGAGCAGATAAAACAAAGATGTTTGTTTTGCTAATAGCAGAACAGAGTGAGTCCTTTATAAAATGTCAGCTCATTGAGTGATAACTGAGGAAATGGTAAGATTTAAAGTGTACATCATGGTGATTTGATACATGGATACACTGTGAAGAGAAAGGTTAAAATTAAAGTCATTATTTGGCCCTAGTTGAAAAAATTAACGTAACCAAGGATGTGGTTGCTGTGTGCATGCCTGGCTATATTTTCATTTGTGTGAGCTTGGGGGGAGAACCAGAAGCACCTCGCTTCCTGTAGACACATGACCCCACCATCCAGGGATGGCCAGGCAGCCCGTTGGCATACATCCTTCTAGGTTGTTGTTATTTTTCTTATGTTTAACAAAATTAGGAATATATACTACTTACTATATCAGTATTTTAACAAGGTGTTTTTCTTAATACAGTAAAAATAATGCGATACATTTTTAAATTTGCTTGTATTCTGTTTAGTAAATATAAATTCATTATTACAAGTTTAATAAATATTAGTACCAATAGAAAAATACTGGTTGACTAAACACTTAAACTCAACAAAGTTTTAAAATCTGGACTATTCATGTTCTTAGGTAAATTTGGTAGTTTGTTTTTATAAATATAAGGTGCTATATGTTGAAGAATTTAAAGTTGCTCTTGAGAAAATGTTTTTACCCGGTCATATTAATTCAGTTTTAGGATTAAATTTGATTTTAAAGTTGTTTTTCTGTTTTTCTTCCCAGATCCAAATATTTTAGAACATGCTCAAGAGGCGAGCATTTAACGATAGAGGTAAGTAGAATGAGTAATTTGATTGGATACAAGTACCTTCAGGAGGATTGTTGTTGTTTTTTTAATTAAGGGGGAAAGATCAGGACCTACATTTAGTGCGGACTGTGTATTTCAATGTTATTGATGCTGGTGAAGAGGAAAGAATTGTGGGGTTTTTGGGGGGGTCAGGGGGCGTAAGGAAATGTGGGCAGCAGATCCATTTCTACTCAAAAAGTAGTTACTTTTCCACCCGACAGCACAAGGCCAGGTGCCCTCGGTCCGTTAGGCAGTGGCTGCCAGCAGGTGCAGCCCGCCCTGTGCAGAGGCCCTGGAGTTAGAGCGTGTTCGTTTTCAGCAGCTCCACAGTCGAATCCCTGAGGCACTTTGTCTCTGTCTGTAAAACATAGCAGTGGAATCTACCGTGGACTCAGCCCTCCTGTGTACCAGCTACTCCACCGCGTCATTGATGAGTGTCACTGTTCCCAACTCTGGGTACGATCGTAGTTAGCTTGTGGCAGTCATCCCATTTTACGGTTGGGAATCGGAGGCTTAGGCAGTGAAGACAGTGGGCTCCCATCCACAGCCTCTAAGTGGCAGAATTTAAATTCCAGTCCCAACTGCCTGGCTCCAAAGCTTGAGCACTGTACTTGACTATTTTCTTTATTAAATAAGGAAGCATATAAACCAGAAATTAGTTTTTAAGAAGTCACAAACCAATACAAAAAACAAGTTTAAGATCATCATTTTAAACTGTTTTAAGTAATCCCTTTATAGTCCTAAATTTTCTGAACCTTTCATGGTTTTCTTTAATTATTAATATATTTTTATGGATTTCAGAGAGAAAGGTAGAGGGAGGGAGAGAGAGAGAGAGAAGCATCAGTGATGAGACAGAATCTTTGATGGGCTGCCTCCTGCTCACCCCACACTGGGGATTGAGCCCGCAACCCAGGCATGTGCCCTGACTGGGAATCAAACTGTGACCTGGTTCATAGGTCGATGCTCAACCACTGAGCCACGCCAGCCGGGCTTTTCATTGTTTTCTTGACCTTTAGCAAGAAAATCTTTATTCTTTCAAGTGGTTATCAATTATTTATACTTAAAGTACAATTATTTTAATAGTAATGACTTTCATTAGGTAATTTGACATGGTCATTCCTATCTCTAGAAAGAGTATTGGGAGCTGTGACTCGCATGTAGTAAATTTTCAGCAAATACATGAATGAATAGATGAATAAATATAAACATTATAAGAGAAATTTTTGTTTGGGTATCTTTTCAGTTCCCGTTTTTTGAGTAATTTTCCTTCTAATAACTTTAAGTTAATCTGAATTCAAGTGGAAATTCTACCTGTGTGGGTTTATGAAATGTTCAATTCAGATGAAAGTTTTGCTTATCAGTTTCTCATTTATGTAGAAACTTGCTGTGAGTTTCCTCTTTGTTCTTTATGTTTTTCATAAATGAAAAAGATAGCTTGTTTTGGCTATCTTGTAGGACTTCAATATATATCAGATGAACTGATGTGTACAAAGAAATTAAATATCTTACATTACTTTTAGGTGAAAATGTGACATCATTATTTGTGGTGTATGTACCTTCGAGAGATATCTCTCCTAACATTTGCTTTCTTGTCCTTTCAGTTTGAGAATCTAGTAGAAAGTGATGAAGTAAGTATTTCTATAATAATGCAAAGTCCATATCGATCTCATTGGTCATCTAATTAGTTCTAACAATTCATGTTTTTTTTTCCTCATTTTAATGTAAGTTTTAAAAATATGTTTTTATTGATTTTAGAGAGAGAGGATAGAAAGGGTAGAGATAGAGAAATACCATCTATCTCCTGCACGCCCCCTCCTGGGGATCGAGCCCACAACCCGGGCATGTGCCTTGACTGGGAATCGAACCAGTGACCTCTTTGTTCAACCACTGAGCCACACTGGTCAGGCAATTAATTTATTTTTCAATAGCATTTATGTCATTTACTTTTAAATTAGAATTTTTATTTTTACTGTTTAGTTCTTTATTTTTGTCTTTCACTAATTTATCCTACTCTAGAACATATGTAATACTATATATAATTTAATTTTTATATAGTTCTATATGTCAATTATGCCTATTATAATATCAGCTATATAACACAGGTTTTAAAAGCACTCTTCAGAACTCAAGGAACTTTAAAAAGAGATATTTCCAACCTCTTGCCATTAGGTAGATAAAATTCCTCACAATCCAGGTTAGACACATTCTTTAACCATAGTTTCCATGAATTTCTGAGGGTGGAATTTATACATGTTCACTCTACCAGCAGTTTCTGACTTTTGCTATTATCATTTCTAGCAGTTACTTTTGGTTGATTTTTGGCATTTCATCTCATCTAAAATTCAAGTCACTTTCAAGGTGCAGTCCAAGTACAAAAACGTTACACTATTTTCTTAAGGTACATTTAGGGCTAGTGAGATGAGTGTCTGTGTCCGGGGTGCCGGTGCAGTGCGAAGAGCTCACTGGGCCCCCACCCCACGTCTCTGAAATGGGTGAGGCTAGAAGAGCCTGCAGGCTCTGACCTGCTGTCCGTTTGGTTTTCTAAGAAAAGAGGAACATGTGTCGAACCACATTGAAGTTATTCCTCAGCCGGCCTTTCCCGGCGTGTGCGGACGCGGTCTCGGAGAGCATGTTGGTTGTTGAGGGTCCTGAGGAGAGCTGTTGGGAAAGAGGTTACTTAAGTCTGTTCAACTCAGCATTTCCCAGAGCAGTCTGGGTCTAAGCCCTGTTTATAAATAGCAATACATACTATTATCATAGGATAGAGCACATTTAGAAAACTTACCTTCTGTTGTCCCAGTAAAATTTCTCCCTGAGAGTTGAATGTTTCATAGAACCTAGTTTTTTTCCTTTTCAAAGGTCGCTTTCATCTCCATGTTTGTCGGGTTTTTAAACACAGTGAAGGCCAACATCCAACCTAATACTTTTAAAGTTCTGACGAATGTTAAATGAAGAGCTCCTTCAGCCTTCAGTGTAGTTCATCCAGCATCACTGATCTTAAAACGTTTCTAAGAGAGAAAGGAGGGGGGGATATCTGTTGTTCCATTTATTGATGCGTCCACTGGGTGGTTCTTCTTCGTGCCCTGACCGGGGATGGAGCCCGCAGCCTTGGGGCATCAGGACCCGATGGCAGCAGCCACAGAGCCACCGGCCAGGGCCACACGGCTCTTTAAAAGAATCTGTGGTCCCGTGTGTTTGCCTACAGTGCTTTGTGTTTGGCGGCTTTTCTTTTTGCCAACCAGCCTTTTCTCTCTCGCACCACATTTTGTGTCTGGTTTGGCGGAACTGTTTTGCAATGCTATTTCCCAAATTCGTTTGGGCCATGTAGAGTTTTATTTCTGCTCTTCCTTAGCCATATATTGTAACTGTCAGATGGGAATAGCTTAACTATTGAGACAGACACATGAGCCCAAATCAGTCTTGAAATTAGGGTTTCCTTTGGAGGGGAAAAGAAAGCTGTGGGTAATTTCATATCCTGTGGAAGGAAATGAAGACGGTGGGTTCTCCTTCTGTGAGAATGAGCTGAACTTGCAGGAACCAGAGCACCCTCCTCGGGGAGATAACAGAATCAGGCGCCCAGGCTTGTCCCACACGTTCATGTTAGTCAGTGTGTAGCCTGGTTGATGTCTCTGGGACACCTCGTTTTAATATATATTATTGGCTCATTGACTCGAACTCACAGCCAACGGCACTGGAGAGGCAACGTCACAGCACCTCACACTGTGCACGGGCCCTTTCCACAGTGAAATCGCCCATAAAACACAGACATGTGCACACCGTGGCCTGAAACAGGCTGTAAAAGGAGCACAGCCCGCGAGCTGGAACCAGAGGGGGAGCCCCGAGTACCCTGCCTCCCGGATGCGCACGCGGGCGCCCGTGTTGGCTGCTCCGCGAGAGCCCGGGCGCCCCGGCAGGTCCGGGCCGGCTGGTTCTGATGCGTGTGACCTGGGAGGTGAGCTGACACCCAGAGTCCGAGAGGGATGAAGGCATAGAGTGTGTCTGGTCCGAGCCTGACCTGGTGTAGAGCAAACATTTGTTAGAAAATTTAAGAAGTATCCAGCAATTTGTTGTTATATAATTAAGCTAGGTATTAAACTAAATTTTGCCTTCGCAAAATAGTAAAATTTTAAAGCTTTTAATAATTAAACTTGTTCACTATGATAAAAAAGATAAGTGGAATACTTGGATTAAACAAAGTTTTTATTGGCTTGTCTGAAATAGAATTATGCTAATGAAGCATTTTAATTGTGTAATTATTTCCTGTACAGGGGGAAAGCCCAGGAAGCAGTCACAGGTAAGGGCGTGTTTTTCTCGGGAATTGGGTCTGTGCTGCAGAAGCTCTGAGGGCCGGGCTGTCGTCTGCTCTGAACTGCTTCCCTCTCAGACCGGCTTTTCTACAAGATGCAGGCCCAGGACGCCCATCACGCAGGATGGCCGTGGACATGAAACCGTGCAGCGCACATGAGTGCTGGGCGCTTTCCTGTGAACCTGAGTTGTTAGGCGTTTGTTTTTTAAAAACCATTTATATTTTCTCTAATTTTTAAAACTTTATCCTCCTTTTATTTATGATCTAAAGCTGCTTTTACTAATGACAGATTTTTAAATATCACTCCATAGTAACTAGAACCTCAATACTCTAATTTATTTAAAATTACTTGAGCTAAGTACTTGAAAAAGAGCCATCTGTCTTTAACTTGAAATTGAGAGTTCCTAACAGCAAGAGAATATTTAAATGTGTTTCATATTTGAATGTGTATTTCTCTACCTTGTGTAGGCTAGCTCACGCTTATTAAGCACTGTGCTGTGGCCGGTCGCTGTGCTAGGGGCCAGATTAAAGAGTCAGACATGTTCTCTACGTCACAGGGAAGAAGGCTGCTTTCAGTACGAGGCAGGAAAAGCTGTAACGAGCAGTTGTAGCGCATGCGAGGAGACCCGAAGGAGAGGCCTCTGTCCACCGTGTGGGAGGGAGGTGCATCCGGCAGACGCGTGTAGGAGGCGCACCTGGGCTGGGCCCGGAGAGTGACTCGGGGCGGCTGTCCCCAGGGGAGAGCCTTCCTGGAGGAGAGACGAAGGGCAGTCATGAGAATTGACTGGGAAGAGGCGCGAGGCAACCTGGTGGTGATGGGAAGGTCTGTTCCTGGTGTTGGCAGCTGAGTGTACACCGTTGTCGCAACAAACCACTGAACACTTAAAAGTTGTATTTTATTTTCTATACGTTAGACCTCCAAGCAGACAAACACACACACAGGCCCTGGCAGAGGAGAAGTGAGAGACGTCACCTGTCGGGCAGGCCGAGACAGTTAGGTCTTGGCAGCACCTGCCAGGGGTGGGGGACGAGGAGGGTGGGCTGAGGAATGGACATGAGAGGAGTCCGAAGGCAGCCCCGATGGGTGACCAGGAGGCCCAGGGCGGGCAGCCCCGGGCGGAGTGGAGACACTGGGCGGAGGGAAGGCCGGGACGCCAGCACTCCAGGAGCCGAGGGACCAGCCCTGGGTCTCCTTTGCCGGCCTGATGAGAGAGGGGAGCAGGGGAGACCCAGTGACTGATGGGAAGATGGTCCCAGCTCCGCGCAGCCTGTGGCTCCACCTGCTTCCCTCCGACCTGTGATCTCTGCATCTGCCGCACGGGGTGCTGTGAGGGTGAACCCGAGTTCATGGCGGAGAGCACCTGCCATGCTGAGTGCTGGCTGCTGTCCTGACTGTACGTTTACTCTGGGATTTGGGCTGAAATGGATGAGAGGAGGAGGAGCTAGCGATGGATCTGGGTTGAGAGGAAGGGTTCGCCTTCTTTCCTCCCTCCCCTCACGTGGCAGAGGCGGAAGCAGGCGGCAGGCTGGGGTGATGGGCGGAGTGAGGGCCGCGGGCCTAGGAGGGGGAGATGCAGGTTGGGGGAGAGCGGCAGGACGGGAAGGGCGCGGTTGCCGATGCCCTTGTTTCCCAGAGTCCATGAGGGTGACTGTGAAGAGGAAGGCGTTTGGATAAGGAGCGCAGGGATTGTGCGGAGATGCTCGCGGCCAGGGTGGATGGGAGGCAGGTGACCAGGTGAGGGTCGACGGCGAGGGCCAGGCGTGCTGGGCTTTCTCTGCGGCTCTCAGCCTCGGTGAGAGCAGTGAGTACAAGACCAGGCTGGGGAGGGAGGCATGGCAGTGCAGGTGGGGGTGCTGGTGAGAACGCGACTCAGGCCCGTGGTGCCTGCACTGGCCGGAAGTGACCTTGGCCAGGACCTGATCATACAGCAGAGGGAGGGGGGGGCTGTGTGGGGCACACGGGGGAGCGAGAGGGGGAGGGCCGGAGCAGAGCCAGAGTGAAGGGCATGGGGGTCACATTTCTTCACAGGTGGTTGTAGTTCAGAACCTGATACTGTGCCATTCTCCACCCCACTGCCTTGTGTGTTAGGACGTGTGCTCTTTAACACAAGTGACAACATCAAATTGTGTTAATGCACTTTGGTAAATTTCAGAATTTCCGTTTTTGAGTGTTTTATTTGGACTCAGAGTCATCAGAAGTTTTCTTTCTTTTTCTCCCTCATTTTTCTGTGTAGGCCTCTTACTGAGGAAGAAATCATGGACCTAAGAGAGAGGCATTATGATTCTATTGCTGAGAAACAGAAAGATCTTGATATGAAAATTCAAAAAGAGGTAAGTAGCTTTTATATATGTTACTGTAAAGGGTCTTTAAATAGGGGCAAGTTGTCATTGACTAATATATTGCATACAAAATCCTTGGACCTATCTTCAGGTATATACAAGTGAAATTATTTGAAAGTTAAAAATTATTTCAGCCTATTATAATTTATTTCAGTTTGGTTAATTTATCAGCAGCCAAAAGCGAAGAGAACACATGCCCCCAAAGGTCAGATCCTGATTCACGAGAAGGGACTCCGGCAGGACACATGCACCTTCGTGTTTAAAAACAACTTTTAAAATTTACTGTTTCACAATAAGTGTTGTTTTTAAAAAGTCTTTTTGTTTGTCTCAGATTTATTTGTTCTTAATGAACCAACTGCTTCTAATAGTCATAAATGTTGTATTTAATGTATTCACAGAATGGCCTGTAATTACAATAGTAATCTATAATAGATAATATTAGCTTTAAAGAAAAAAATTGTGTTGAAATTTGATGCTTAAGCTTTATTTGAAATGCAGTAGATTGTCACTAGGGCAGTGAGTTGCTATTGGGAATGGCGGGACGTAGGTGAGGGCACCGTGGTGTGATCGTCAGGAGCGGGGTGACGCGAGAGGATTGGCCTCGGGCCAGACCCTCACCCCGTCAGGGCCAACAAGCAGTGAACTGTGGGTAAGGATTCTGAGGAAGAAGCAGTTCCGTGTTTATGCAGATTACAGGCTGCTCCTGCACAGTTTCAGCTCCTGGAGAATTCTGTAATATGATTGACTTCCTTTGGGTTACTTTATAAAAAGAGAAATTGAAATGAAAAATCACAAAAATTGGAGTTCTGCCATGCTTTGAAGGGATCGATGTTTTAATTTATTTTTATTTTATGAGTAGAGCATTTTGTTTGGAGACCAGTTAGACAGGTTCTGATTCTGTTAATCCTTATGTTTTGTTCATGCACAGTTAGCCTTACAAGAAGAGAAGTTAAGACTAGAAGAGGAGGCTGTGTACGCTGCCCAGCGCGAAGCAGCCAGGGCAGCAAAGCAGCGAAAGCTCTTGGAGGTGAGGGACCCTCCGCGTTAGGGCGGCTCTTCTCCTGCTTCTTCTGTCCCCGCCAGTCAGGGGCTTCTGCGTAACAAATGTCTTCCTGCCTGTATTTCTAGGAACTTAGGGCAAACCAGTTGAGCTTTAACAGGTAGAAATGACATCCGATTATACACTTGATGCTGAGTGCTGCTTGCCTTAGGGTAGCAGGCGCTAGCTCTTGTTTATCCCAAAGATCAGCTTCAGTTTTCTAAAATCCAGTATTCTGTTGGAAAAATACATATACCCTCAGACAGAAACAGGGCAAAACTGGCCTTTTTAAGTTTAATTTTGTCATTTTTTTGTTGCTTTTTTAAAAACAAGGCCTTGAGTTGCTAGAATTTCCTATCCTTCTTAGTCAGGTAAGCCGGGCAGTTTTGCCCCCAGGGATGTTGTATATTTCTCATCTTCATTCTCGTGTCTTTGGGAGATTGGGAGTTTGAGCCTTGAAAAATCTCTGGCATGTTATTATGCTGGGGTCCAACCCCAGCAGGTCCAGGGGTCCCCAAAGGTGTGGACGGAGTCGGCAAAGACTATCCACCCTCTTCCTATGGTGGAGTCCTATCCGTCCCGAGTGCGGGGTGCTTACCTAAGGGTCCCTGTTCGGGCGCCATATGCTGGGGTCCAACCCCAGCAGGTCCAGGGGTCCCCAAAGGTGTGGACGGAGTCGGCAAAGACTATCCACCCTCTTCCTATGGTGGAGTCCTATCCGTCCCGAGTGCGGGGTGCTTACCTAAGGGTCCCTGTTCGGGCGCCATATGCTGGGGTCCAACCCCAGCAGGTCCAGGGGTCCCCAAAGGTGTGGACGGAGTCGGCAAAGACTATCCACCCTCTTCCTATGGTGGAGTCCTATCCGTCCCGAGTGCGGGGTGCTTACCTAAGGGTCCCTGTTCGGGCGCCATATGCTGGGGTCCAACCCCAGCAGGTCCAGGGGTCCCCAAAGGTGTGGACGGAGTCGGCAAAGACTATCCACCCTCTTCCTATGGTGGAGTCCTATCCGTCCCGAGTGCGGGGTGCTTACCTAAGGGTCCCTGTTCGGGCGCCATATGCTGGGGTCCAACCCCAGCAGGTCCAGGGGTCCCCAAAGGTGTGGACGGAGTCGGCAAAGACTATCCACCCTCTTCCTATGGTGGAGTCCTATCCGTCCCGAGTGCGGGGTGCTTACCTAAGGGTCCCTGTTCGGGCGCCATATGCTGGGGTCCAACCCCAGCAGGTCCAGGGGTCCCCAAAGGTGTGGACGGAGTCGGCAAAGACTATCCACCCTCTTCCTATGGTGGAGTCCTATCCGTCCCGAGTGCGGGGTGCTTACCTAAGGGTCCCTGTTCGGGCGCCATATGCTGGGGTCCAACCCCAGCAGGTCCAGGGGTCCCCAAAGGTGTGGACGGAGTCGGCAAAGACTATCCACCCTCTTCCTATGGTGGAGTCCTATCCGTCCCGAGTGCGGGGTGCTTACCTAAGGGTCCCTGTTCGGGCGCCATATGCTGGGGTCCAACCCCAGCAGGTCCAGGGGTCCCCAAAGGTGTGGACGGAGTCGGCAAAGACTATCCACCCTCTTCCTATGGTGGAGTCCTATCCGTCCCGAGTGCGGGGTGCTTACCTAAGGGTCCCTGTTCGGGCGCCATATGCTGGGGTCCAACCCCAGCAGGTCCAGGGGTCCCCAAAGGTGTGGACGGAGTCGGCAAAGACTATCCACCCTCTCCTACGGTGGAGTCCTATCCGTCCTGAGTGTGCGGGTGCCAGATGCTGGGGTCCAGCCCCAGCAGGTCCAGGGGTCCCCAAAGGTGTGGACGGAGTCGGCAAAGACTATCCACCCTCTTCCTATGGTGGAGTCCTATCCGTCCCGAGTGCCGGGTGCTTACCTAAGGGTCCCTGTTCGGGCGCCATATGCTGGGGTCCAACCCCAGCAGGTCCAGGGGTCCCCAAAGGTGTGGACGGAGTCGGCGAAGAAGGAATGACACGGAGACAGCGTTCAGT